GTCCTCCGGAGGGGAGGGGAGGGCCGGGTGGGAAGTGAAGTCAAGTGACGGGGTGATGTCCCTGCACCCCGGGCTGCCTGGCCCAGCCCCGGGGGACCCCCCAGCTACGAGGTGGCGCTACACGGTCAGAGCGGGCGGGGAGGCTGAAGCACTCGGCCTCAGTCCCCGCCGGCTGCATTTGTCTCCTCCAGCCTCCGCCCCGCCCGGGTCCCTCGTGGCCAGCGGGTTGCAAGTCCCTCCATCAGAAAGCAATTACACTAAATAATCCCGGCCCATTAGCAGCGCCAGCTCAATGGCTCCTTCCTCCCGGAGCTGGCCGGCTCCGATCGCTGCGTAACTAATTTGAGCAGGAGCAGGGTCCGTCCCCGCCGGCTGCATTTGTCTCCTCCAGCCTCCGCCCCGCCCGGGTCCCTCGTGGCCAGCGGGTTGCAAGTCCCTCCATCAGAAAGCAATTACACTAAATAATCCCGGCCCATTAGCAGCGCCAGCTCAATGGCTCCTTCCTCCCGGAGCTGGCCGGCTCCGATCGCTGCGTAACTAATTTGAGCAGGAGCAGGGTCCAGCGCATTTATCTGCGCAGGGAAAGCAGGGGAGATAGAAATCTCATTTACAAGGGCAACCGAACGCAGCCAGATCTATGGCCACCCGGCCTGTGAGAATGAATGGAGCTCAGCCAGTCCTAGCAGCTGTGCCTGGAGCACACGTATAAATCTCGGGCCGGATTTCCCTTCTGTAACGTGCCGGCCGACAGCTGCAGGCAGCCGAGAAATCCTGTGTGAACCAAGGGACTCGCCTGTCGCTGAGACCCCAGCTACAGGCTTTGTTTTGCTGGGGAGCGAGGGGGCCACGCCCTGCAGGGGAGCAGAAAGAGGGCAAGGGGGGGGGCGGGTTTGAGTGTCTGTGTGAAAAGCCATTTTGAGTTTTCTTTCCAGCCTTTCCCCATCACGGGGCCAGTGAAAGCAGCAGCAGGTGGAGGAAGGGGAGGAAGGTTGCGCAAGGCATTCCAAGTGCAGCAGCTGGCCCTGCCGTCGCTCCCTGCGAGACCCCTCACAGACCTCCCGGGCGCGCTGCTTAGCCGGGGAGCAGGCTGATCCGAGGACGACGTGGCCTAGACTCTAGACTCCCATCGGAGTGCTCCCGAGGCCTAAAACCGCCCCGCGCCCATCCTGCTCCAGGGAGGGGGGTCCAGCGAGACGGGGAGGGGGTGATGCTTTGGGAGGGGTTCAAAGCACTGCGGTGAGGCGAGTCACAGAGTGACCCAGATCCAGGGGGAGTGAAACTGGCCAGCCCCCCTCCCCTGGGGCCCTGAGGAGCAGCAGGCACCCAGCCCACCGGCTCTGAAGGAAAGGAGCCCTGCGAGGCTCTCGCAAGTTCCTCGTGTGACAAGCCGCCGGGCCCTGCGCAGGCCTGCGCCACTGGCGAGCCCAGCGGGGAGG